TACATATTTTATGTTGACCGTCACTGCTAACATTTCAAATAGGAACAACAAGAAGATGTGAACTTTCCTATTTCTAATACCTTCTCTTCATTGTAATTTAAAATAGATTGTAATGCCTATCCATATAATACATATTTGATAATTCTGGAGTATTAACAAAGTTATAACTGACTAATACCACAAAACTTGAAGACAGTACTATTTACAAAGTCTTTAGAAAATGAAATGAAGACATACAAGGTACTTGGTTGACTTTCTCTTCCCTTCATTCATTCATGTGCTTTTGGGTATTATTGTACTTTATATTACATTATAAAGTAAACAGGTTACTTCTGAGAGATTGTTGCTTCTATTTTGTCTCTTTGGTATGCTCTTGGGGTTTAAGGTAACCATGGTTACAGGAGGACGTGTAGCTAGTTATAGATATGAAGCCAGAGCAGTTATATCCCCTCAATCAGCTCTTGTCTTGCCCCTGTCACCTTTAGTAAAACCAGAAAAGAGTAGGCAACTGCTTTTTCGGGTTGTCATAATAATTAATGAGATAATTAATTCTCTCCTCTTAAGAGAAAACTCAGAGACTTGTCTATGCCAGGAAATATTAGCTATTATCATAAGGATTATTCTCCCTAATACCTAAGCCACTTACTGGCAATCAACTTAATCATCATATCCTTCCAGGAAAAAAAAAGGAATATGAATTCAAATCTTAAGAACTCTCTTCATTTTTAATTCAGGTTTCAGACCTCACGTAAATATCTTGAAGCAGATTGTGTCTGATTCAATACAACTGTTCTGGGTACTTGAGAATCTAGAAGATCAGCGGACTCAGATCATGGCACAAGAAATCTATATTACACTTATTCTTCAATAAATCAAGACCATTGCTGATTCTTGTAAATGGGAGATGATATTCCTCAACTCACCTTTGGAACTCTGGGAAATCTTTCTGAAGCGAAGCCAGACTTTCTTTAACTTTGGTATAACTATTGTTTTAGTGTGATAAGGAGAAAAGAGAGAACAAAGAACAGTTAATTCTGCAGTCGAGAAAAGTCTTTTGAAAATAAAATAAAAATAAAAACAAAGAGATATTTAAGAAGAGATCCAGGTTTCCTAGATAGGCGACATAAAGCAAAGAGAAGGGCAGGTGGTAAATCATACAGAGGGTGCACACAGCATGCTGAAACACTGGGTCAAGATACAGACAGCAGGACAGAACACCTGCATGAGCTCAGACTCCTCCCTAGCAATGTGAACTTGAGTTATGTATTTGACTTGTCTGCGTTTTAGTCTTTTCAATGTAACTTCAATAAAATAGGGACAATGATCATATATCCATCATGGAGTTGTGATGGTTCAGTAACTTCCCATGAAGAATTGTCATCAGAGGTTGGATGGATATTGGGCCACTATGTAAAGATATCATCTGTGCTTACTAACTAGCATCTTACAGCTTTGCTTGAAGACTTTCTACCATTCAGAGTTACATATTGCAAGAAAAACTTCACCACCAGTATACAACCTCAATTATCAAAAAAAACATATGCAAATCAGAACATTTACTAAAAGTTGGACAAACCCACTGTGTCCATGAGACTGGGTCACTGGGTTGTCTTCTTTGCAAAGCACTAAAGTAAAACATATATTTTTTAGTTGTGACCACATTCTCAAGCCATATCCGCATGTTTTATGGCCTTTCTTACAGGTATTTTTTAATGTGAAGTTCAATGCCTTCCTCCTGAAGACGGAAAAGTTTATAAGCTAACTAGCAAAGGAAACATCCCTAACTTTGTGGTGATGAGGATCTCGTTGATTTGCATTCTGGTCTCACCACTTATTAACTTTGTGATGCCAGCAATTTAAAACCTTTCCAAGTGTGTATTTCCTCTCCAATATGGGCTAATAATTTGTTCTTTACAGAATTGTTTTGAGTGTTAAATATAAATTACTTTCTGGTTCATGGTGTTTATATGCAGTACACAATGTCTGATAGTTAACATTATGAATATGATTTTAACAGTAAGCTATAGAAAAAATAATGTAGCACAGATTCTTAGAATCCATCAAAGCAGGTTGTAAAAATGACTTAAAGAAACATCCACCATAGCAATGACTAACATTTTGTAAAGCTTTATTTTTCCATGGAGAACCATATCCCAGCACAGCGCTGTGCTTTTGTGTTCCTGTTGTCAGAGAGGGTAATATACATGATGCATTGACTAACCGCTAATGAAAGTTTTTATTCTTAAGACACAAAATATTTCCCAACACAGAGCACAAGGTCTTTGTGCTCATGTCAGCTCTAGAGTGGAACTTTTGAAAAAGAAGTAGAGAAAGTGCTTGCTTCCATAGACATCAAAACATAAAGGTAAAAATGAAAGTAAACTATCACATGGCAGAAGTTTTGCTTTGAAAAGCTTGACTTGAAAAGTGTGTTTAAATATCATGAAACCTTCAACCAATGCTACTTTAAATATTCCTGAGACAGAGTGTCAATTTCTTAATGTCATATGTTCAGTTTATCCAACATTTTCTAGTGTTAGCTGTGTGGGGTTCAATACCTTCTCTAGGGTTAGAGGTAAGAAAGACATTCCTCCTTCTGTACCTGTAAGGGTAAAGCAAGCATGCCTTTCTCAGCTGTCACAGTGAGTCAAACAGGCAGCACCGTCATTACTGATACAATGCTGTTCCAACCTGGCACTATCTGCAGACACTCAGGGCCTTAGTTTAGGCAAAAATTCAATATAATCTCTTTGGTAAGATTCAGATTGTTTGTTCCCAGAGCTTATCAGGTCTGTCTTTCATTTTACCCATATATGGATATAATGGTCTTTCCTCAGAACTGTTTAAAAGATATTAGTCATGGAACCTCATATTTATACTTTCCAGGCACCAAAAGAGGAGATCACGAAACATTAACAAGAATCAAAATTGGATTAAAGAGAAAACTCAACTAGTACCGTGCTTGGTTTGTGAATATGAGGACTCTTGATACCCTGAAACTGAAGTTAAATAAAGAAGAGACAGGCATGATGACACAGGTTTATCATGCCAGAGTTGGGGAGACAGAAGCAAGCAGATCTCAGAAGATTGATAGGATGGCTCAAGATACAAAGGCACTTGCTGTGCAAGCCTGGTGACCTGAGTTCTGTTCTCCAAACAGAGAAGGTGCAAGGATAGAATGGACTCCACAGAGTTTTCTTTCTAACTTCCACAAAACTGAATGGTTTCATGAGCACATGCGCGTGCGCGCGGGCGCGCGCACACACACACACACACACACCACAAATAATAAGAAAATGTTGATAAAAAAAAATAACAGGTCCTTTACATATCTGCTATTACTATTAGCTTGATGATTTTGTAGGACTCCTAACAGTGGGAGCAGGTGTTTTTCTAACTTTTGCCTGTTCTTGGGACTCTTTCCTCCCACTGGATTGCCTTGTTCAGCCTTGATATGAGGGCTTTTGCCTAATTTTTTTGTATCTTGTTTTATCCTGTTCAACTGTTATCTCTTCAAGGCCTACTCTATTTTGAAGATGATATGGCATGGGAGTGGATCGTAGGAAGAGGGGTGATAGGTGACACTGGGGGAATTGGGAGCAAGGGAAACTGTCCTCAGAATGTCTTGTATGAGAGAAGAATCTATTTTCAATTTGAAATTTAAGTAAATAACTATTTATATGTCCAAATGTGACATCTCATCATATTCTTAAGTAGTTACTGTTATACAGTTCTCATAGATCAGTGTGCAGAGACTGTCTGTTTTACTACTTTCCAGTTGTTTCCAGGGAGTTTCCTTTATTTCTCTGGTTAAAAAAAAGACAACTGGCCAGGCATTGGTGGCACAAGCCTTTAATCCCAGCACTCGGGAGGCAGAGGCAGGCTGATCTCTTGTGAGTTCGAGGTCAGCCTGATCTACAGAGCGAGTTCCAGGACAGCCTCCAAAACAATACGGAGAAACCCTGTTTCAAAAAAAAAAGACAACTGTATTTTTCAGACACAAGAGATTAACTGAGTAGATATTTGTCTTGGGTACAGTTTCTATGACTGTAACAAAACACCATGACCAAAAAGCAAATTGGAAAGGTTTTATTTGTCTTACACTTTCATATATCTGTTCATTACTGAAGGATGTCAAGACAGGAACCAAACAGAGCAGGATCCTGGAGACAGGAGCTGATGGAGAGGCCATGGAGGAGTGCTGCTTACTGGCTTTCTTCACATGACTTATTCACCTTGTTTTATTATAGAACCCTGGACTGCCAGTCCACAGATGGCACCACGCACCATGGGCTAGGCCCTCCCTCATTGATCACTAATTTCAAAAATGACTTACAGTAGGATCTCATGGAGGCATTTCTTCAACTGAGGCTCACTCCTCTATAATGACTATACCTTGTGTCAGGTTAACACACAAAACCAGCCAGTACAATATCTATACCTCTTTACAACTTTCTACAGCCATGAGAAGAAAGGCAGAAAAATGATAAAACTTAACCTAGAAGAATACATGAATAAACAATGTCTTGATATACATCAGGTGTTCTACGAGAAGACTGTGGTAACCAACCAATATATAAGTACTCAGCCTCTAGTCCATTCTTCTCCGGGAGGCTGTTCTAAAAGCCAAAGTACTTGATTTGGACACACTTTGTTGTTTTGTCTTGTCTTAGTTAGGTTTTTATTTGCTGAGAAGAGACATCATGACCACAGCAACTTTTATGAAGAAAACATTTAATTGGGGTGTCTCGCTTACAGTTACAGAGGTTCAGTCCATCATCATGATGGGAAACATGGTGGCATGCAGACAGATGTGCTAGAGCTGAGAGTGCTACATCTTTCAGGCAACAGGAAGTGAACTGGCAGTCACACTGAGGGAAGCCTGAGCAAAAGAGACCTCAAAGCCTGCCCCACTGTGACACACTTGCTACAACACGGCCACACCTTCTAATAGTGCCACTCCCTTTGGGAGCCATTTTCTTTCAAACACATCTTGACTGCAACCTACTGTATATAAGAAATGCAAATGGACCACAGCTACATGCAGTGATAGGCCATTATGACAGTGACAAAAATGGAAGCTATGAATTGACTCAACAATAGAAACATCTACTCACCCTGGCTGATCGGACTACAACTGCTGCTGGGTGCTAGGCCTGTCAACACCAGAGACCAACACTGAGTCCTTGATATGGCAAAATTTCCAGGGGTGACCAGCCAGTGACCTGGTGGTAGGTTAAGTACTCGGACCACTTCCTTCTTGAAAAGGGAAATACTTGTCCCTAATGGAGTAGATATTTAGTCTGGTTATGAATTTACTGTTTTGTATCAATGCTTTTACCAAAACTGCCATCCATGGACTTATAGAATGCTTTATTCATTGTCACTCTGTCATTGTATAACTCCATGTAGTATTTTTTCTGAATAAGGAACTTACTTCAAAGCCAGTGGGCTCAGACTTATGGAATTCACTGGTCTCTCCATATCCCAACCATCTTAAAGCAGCTGGCTTGAAAGGTAGAATGACCTTTTGATGACACAGTTACAATGGCAATAGGTGGCACTGGACTGGCTAGGCCAGTGTACTCCCTTCTGGCTTTGAATCAGCAACCAGTATGGTACTTTTTCTTCTATAGCCAAGATTCATGGGTCCAGGAATCAAGGGGTGAAAATGGGGATGGTTCTACTAACTATAACCCCAGGAAATATTTTTTGTTTCCTGTTTCTGAACCTTAATCTATTCCTGACATTAAGTTCTGCTGGCCTAGAAATGTTGGTTCCTGATAGGAGAATGCTTCTCCCAGGACACACACAAAAATTTCATTGAACTGGAAACTCAGAATTACCCCCTGGCCGCTTTGGGTTTCTGATGTCCTTAAGCCAACAGGCTAAAAAAGGAATAACAGTATTAGAGTTGATTAATCCATACTACCAGGGGAAAATTGGATTTTGCTTCTCCACAATAGATAAGGAAGATTATGTCTGGATTGCAGGAAATCGTTTATGGGTGTCACTTGCTATTACTATGTTCTGTGATTAAAGTCAATGGGAACTACAACAACCTAATCCAGGCAGGATGACAAAGGGCCCAGACTCTTCAGAGATGAGTATGTGGGTCATTCTTCCAGGAAAAGAGCCAATACCTGCTGAAGTGCATGCTGAGGCTGAAGGATATACAGAAGTTAGTAGAAAAAGGTAACTATAAATACCAGCTAAGGTCATGTGACCAGTTGCAGAAACAAGGGTTATAATTTACATGAATGTTTCTGTGCCATATTAAGAATAGACATTCAATACATACATATATATTAAGCAGATACTCTTTGCTCTACTTATCATGTAATGTAGCAACAACTGAGAAACTGTCAGTGAATATTATCATTTTTAAGTTATGAGACACTGAAAGACTAAGGATTCCTCAAGGGACATTACTGCCTACTCTGAAATACCTAATGTTTTTTGCAGTTGCTCATGGAGTTGTTACATCATGCTGGGCAAAATTTTTACCTGATTATTATTTTCATTTGGAAATGAAGCATAATATAAGTGGATGTGATTGTTCATCAAGTTGACAAATGGTGGACTTACAATGGCTAATATTGGTTGTCAACTTGATGACTACATCTGGAATGAATGACAACCTAACTGACTGGACATGCCTGTGAGTGATTTTTTGACCTGATTATTTAAAGTTGAAAAACTAAATCTGAGCCACACCTAATGGCAGCCCAAATCAAATGACAGAAGAAATCTTGTTGCCTTTGTCTACATTGGCTTCAATCTACCCGACAAGTTCACGTATCCTGTTCCTGAGATGCTTCTTCACCTGTATTAAAATTAACTTCCTCAGGAACAATGTAAACTGAAGACCAACAGCTCTCCATGAATTTTCTATGACTCCAGCTCCAGATTGGGACTGTTAAGACAATCAATCTCAGGATTGGACAACTACTACTGAATTCTCAACTTTTCCCATGTGAGACTACTCAGACAACATCCTATATAAGCCAATCTAACAAACTCTAGGCAGAAATTAGAAGCAACTAACAGGCAATGAATAAGCACCAGGGTGCTATCATAGAAATGAATTCATTTTCCTCACTGATTGAATGCAACAAAGTGAGGCTCAGTCAGAAATGACCTACAAGTGATTTTCCACTACAAAGACATTGATATCAAATAATGTTAAAATATTCTTAGGTCTACATTTCTGAGTACTAATTATTATGATAAAGAGCAACATATTCAACAAATAATAAGTATGTGCTGAACACTGGATGCATAGGGATATTGTTAGGTAAACATGCTCCCTTCTAAAACCCATTTGTTTTGTGTGAATGTATTGTCAAGGGACCCTATACTTTTTGTAATAAAGAACCAATTCCTACTATTCTTTAAAGCTAATGATCAAAGAAAACTGAAGAGTGTAGCTTATTTCTATAATGAATAGGAGAGGAAAAACAGCTGTACACTCTTCTTCTAATTACAATCATATCAGGAAAACATGCTCATAGACAGCAGAATGAATGATTATGCAGTCTGGTTATTCTAGAAATGTTTCAACTTTAGCACAAACCAGCACACAACAAGCTACAGGTTCAGCCCAAGAAGACAGCTTGAATTTGACCCAGACTGTGAAGGTATACTGCTGATTATTCCAGTAAATTCAGGTTTGGAATGAGAGTTGTTTTGGAACAGGATATTTGGAATTACTATATTTCTTTAATTTACTTTATTGTAATAAACTGTAGTTTTACATCTCTTTGGAAATTTAATGCTGCACATTTTCAAATTTTAGAAATCATTGCACATTTTCAAATTTTAGAAATCATTGCACATTTTCAAATTTTAGAAATCATTGTCATTTGAATGGTAATTATTTGCACAGGATTAGACAGTGTGTTGCCACAATTCTTTTAATGTTGTATGAAATTGGGTTGTATATTTTCATCCCTGTAATTGTTATGCTTTGTTATATTCTTTTCCTTCAAACCTCCAATTTTGGAAAATAACTTACCTATCTATATTCACATCAAAGAATCAACCTTGAATTCATTTGTTATTTTTTAATATTTAAGAAAACTATGTCTGTGGGTATTTTATTGAATGCATGCCTGTGCACTAAATGGGTTCCTTGTAAATGTGGAAGTCAGAAAGGGAAGTTGAATCCCCTGGAACTGGAGATATAGACAATTATGAGCAACATGCAGATGCTAATAATTGAACCCAGGTCCTCCGGAAGAGCATCCAGTGTTCTTAACTGCTGAACCATCTTCCTAGATAGTTTACAATATTTTATTATAATGTAGGCATTGGTTATTTCTTTTGAACTTCAATAACTTGAGGTTTTTTTGAGGAATTTTTTTCCAAATTCAAGATAAAAATTTAAAATTGAGCCGGGCAGTGGTGGCACACGCCTTTAATCCCAGCACTTGGGAGGCAGATCACAGGTGGATCTCTGTGAGTTCGAGACCAAGCCTGGTCTGCCGAGCAATTCCAGGACAGGCTCCAAAACAATACAGAGAAACCCTGTCTCGAAACAAACAAACAAACAAACAAACAAACAAAAAAAGAATTTAAAATTGCTATGGGAAACTTGGGTTACCCTAACATCCTGTATTTCTGATGGTATTTATTTTATTTGAACTGTATTAGTTTGTATTTGTTGAGTTATTAATAAAACACTTTTCCTATATTTTGTAAGCAAAAGGTGGTATCAAATTTGTAGTCAAGTAGAAATGGCTTTAAAGCTGGGCTTGGGCTTGGTCATGAGCCACATCTGTACTTTGAACTTATAAGTCCCAGGAGGAAACACTATGAGAAATAGTCATATTCCTAGGCAAAACGTGGATGTGTACCTGCCACACATCTGTCGTAGTGGTCAGGGTCTTGGGTTATAATCCACACAGGTGGCCCATAGCTGGTTCTTTCTTCAGATGTTCCTCCTTCCCATTGAATTCTATGGTAGAGTTAGTAGGGGAAATATACATGCTGGAGTTGAAAGCACACATCACATTAAATTGGGTACTCTACACTTTCATCTGCTGCACCTAGGAGCTGTGCTCTGTGGCTGTGGTTTTTACTTTTGAGTACACTGTCATCTTTCAATTTCCCATGAGGTCATATGAAGTCATTTGGGACCATGCTTTCTTGGTGGCTTCAACCTTCTGCAGGTTGTTTTCTTCTAGTGACAGTCTGGGAACCCATGTGTCAAGTCAGAGCATAGGAAATGACAGCAAATGAGAAGACTTATTTTATTAAAAAGAAAAATTGCCCCAATCAGTGTTTTTTAATTCCTGATGATTTTGCTTAAACAATTTCTGTGTCAAAGATTTCCTTTAGAAATTATTCAGACTCTGAAAGATCCTTTACTTGTTGCCTAGTCTTCATTTTTTCTCTCAATTTAATGTGCATTCAGCTCAGTAAGCCTAAAACAAACAACTAAATAGAGCAACAGCAACAGTGGGGGTAGAAGGCATAACTTTTGCACACAGATAACCAGTCTCCTACCTTATAGAGCTTTGCTCAGTCAGAGTAGTAAGATCAGAATGAATTATAATGTCTACTTAACTTTCCTTATTTAGAAAACAGGGTCAATACTAATAGTTCCTATCACAGTTTGATGAGATGACCCATGATGCAAATACACTAATTTTCAAAGATATGCACTAGATGTGTTCAGATCCTGCTTTAAAAATCTTGGATATATTTAGTATAAACTTCATTATCTTTATCTCTCTATTCCAATGTTTATCAAGCCATATTAATGGTATTATCTGCCCATCTTTTCCTACATTTTTATAGACTTGGACAAAGTCAGAGAATATTAAAAACTCAAAATATTGATCTTTGACTGAATAAAGTGGGGACAGCTAATTTTCCCATCTCCTGCTTATTTTCTAGTGACTCAAATATTAGAACAGAACCATCGCTTGTTATGAAGTCTGGCTCCTAGTTTTCATACACTTAAAAGAACACATTTATGATTTATTATTATAGAACTATACATAATTAATGGAGTAAGTGTTGTGTAGAGCATGGTAGCTATAACAGGAGAATTGAATTTTTTAAATAATATTTTTTATCCTTTGAATGTCCCATGTATTTATAGAATGCATGTTGCTCATATCTATCTACCATTACCAAACCAAACTCTTGTAGTATCCTCCAATCTTTGTGTGGTTTGGGTACCAAGGTAACTGTAGCTTCGTAAAAAGTCTTTAATATTTTT